CCCAAATTCCAGGCAGTACTTCTCCAAGAGAGACTCACTCTGCTTGGGGAAAGGAGAAGAAAGAGTATAGAGGACTGTGTCTTACAACTTGAGTACTAGCTCAGCCACAATAAAATAAAGTGCCAGATTCTAGATTTTTGCTCCTGGACTGGTTTCTAGACTCACTCTATGCCAGAAAAGAATCCACTCCTCTGATGGGATGGACCCCATCCTGGCAGAATTCACCCCCTTCTAACTGAAGTGGTCCTGGGCCTTGAATAAACATCAGGCAATAGTGGCTGCTGGCCTTGGGTTAGCCCCAGTACTGTCATGGTCTGCAAGGATTCAGGTGTAACTCTGTGGGGGTAGTGGTAGCTGTGGTAGCCACGAGAGTGCCCAGATCACCTCTCCCCAACTCCAGACAGCACAGTGCACAGAGAGACTCCTTCTGATTGGGGAAGGAGAGTAAAAGACTTTTCCTGCTTACCCAGGGAATTATCTCTCATCTTACCCAAGTCTAGCAAGGTTGTGTATGTAGAAGGCTGTAAGAGCTGCAGCATTCCTAGGCGTAGGGCACCATCTAGTTCTGAAATGGCTGCAATAATTGCAGGCTTGGGTCACAACACTCCATTTCTCTTGGATTTGTGGAAAGGCGTCTCAAGAAGGAAGGAGACAAACAAGCCAAGACTGCAAAAATTGTAAAAAATACCTAACTCTTCGTTGCTTAGATATCAGTGAACATCCACAAGCATGAATAATATCCAGAAAAACATGACCTTACCAGATGATCTAAATAAGGCACCAGTGTAACCAATCCTGGAGTGACAGACATATGTGATCTTTCACACAAGGAATTTGGAATCTCATCAGAAATTTGATAGAGATTAAAATAATTTTTTAAAAGTCATGTAGAAATTCTGGAGAGGAAAAATTCAGTTGAAAAACTGACAAATGTATCAGTCTCTCAAAAGCAGAACTGATCAATAAGAAGAATCAATGAGATTGAAGACAGCCTATATGAAAATACACATAGGAGAAAAAAAAAATGAAACACCCCTACAAGATCTTTAAAACAGCCTTCAAGGGGCAAATCTAAGTTATTGGTCTTAAAGAGGATGTACTAAGAGAGATGGGGGTAGAAAGTTTATTCAAAGAAATAATAATAGAGAACTTTCCAAACCTACAGAAAGATATCCAGGTACAAGAAAGTCAAAGAACACCAAGCAGATTCAAACCAAATAAGACTACTTCAGTACATATAATAATCAAAATCTCAAGGTCAAGGATAAAGGATCTTAAAAGCAGGAAGAAAAGGGAAGCGAATAATATATAAAAGCAAAATTGTATTTCAAACATAAAGGAGAAATAAAAACTTTGACAGAAAAAAAAAAAAAAAAAAAAAAAAAAAAAAAAAAAAAAAAAAAAAAAATTAAAAAAAAAAAAAAAAAAAAAGCCAAGGAATTTTGTCAACACCAGCCCTGTCTTACAAGAAATACTAAAGGGAGTTCTTCAGTCCAAAAGAAAAGGGTGTTAATTAGCAATAAGAAATCATCTGAAGATATAAAACTCACTGGCAATAGTAAGTACACAGACAATTACAGAATATTCTAACTCTGGTTAGACTCCTTTAATTGTAATTGTGGTGTATCAACTACCAATATCTTTAGTCAGAAGACCAGAAGACAGATCCCCCCAAAATAATAAATACTACAACTTTTTAAGAGATAAGCAACATAAAATATACGTAAACGGAGACAACAAGTCAAAAAGCAGGGGGGCAGATGAAGTTAAAGTGTAAAGTTTTAATTCTCTCTTTGCTTATTTTTTTCTTTATAATCAGAGTTAAGTTGTCATCAGTTTAAAACAATTGGTTATAGTATTTGCAAGCCTCATGGTAACCATAAAACAAAAACCTATAATAGATACAAAAAACCTGAAAAGCCAAGAAATTAAAATAAACTACAAGAGGAAATCACTTTTACACAAAGGAAGACAGAAAGGAAGGGAGGACTGACAATACAACCAGAAAAGACGTAACAAAACGTCAGCAGTGACTATTTACCTATCAACAACATTAAATGTAAATGGACTAAATTCTCTAATTAAAAAAAGAGTAGCTGAATGGATAAAAAATAAGAAGTAATCATATGCTGTTTACAAGAAACTCACTTCATCTATAAAGACACCCAAAGACTGGAAATACAGGAATGGAAAAAGTCCATGCAAACAGAAGCTCCAAAAGAGCAAGAGTAGCTATGCTTATACCAGATAAAATAGATTTCAAGACAAAAATTGTAAAGAGAGTCAAAAAGTGTTATTATATAATAATAAAGGGGTAAATCCCACAAGAGGATATAAGAATTGTAATTATATATGCACTCAATGCTGGAGCATCCAGATATATAAAGCAAATATTAGAACTAAAGATAAAGTTAGACACCAAAAAAATAATAGCTGGGAACTTCAACACCCATCTTTCAGAATTGGACAGATAATCTACATAGAATATCAACAAACATCAGATTTAATTTGCACTATAGACCACACTGACCTAATAAACATTTACAGAATATTTCATGCAACAGGTAAAGAACACATATTATTTTCAGTATACGCAACATTCTCAAGGACAGAGCATATATTAGGCCATAAAACAAGTCCCCAAAATTCAAACAAACTGAAATCACATAAAGTATCTTTTCTGACTGCAAAGGAATAAAACTAAAATTAATTAACAAGAGGAATGTGAAAACCAAACAAACAAGAGGAAATTAAACAATGTGCTCCTGAATGACCATTGAGCCAATTAACCATAGAAGGAAATTTAAAAATTTGTTGAAACAAATGAAAATAGAAACACAATATATCACAACCTATAGATACAGCAAAAGCAGTATTAAGAGTGAAGTTTATACAACAGACACCTCCATCAAAAAGTAGAAAAACTTCAAATATACAACCTAAGGATATGTCTTAAAGAACGGGAAAAGCAAGAAAAAACCAAACCCCCAATTAGTACAAGAAATAATAAAGAGCAGAGCAGAAACAATGCATGAACAAAGTGAGGTCAATATCTCTGATGAAAATAGATGTGAAAATCCTTAACAAAATATTAGAAACTGAATTCAGCACCACATTAAAGAGATCATTCTTCATGATCAAATGGGATTCATCCCAGGGATGCATGGATGATTCAACATATGAAAATCCGTAAATGTGATATCTCAACAGAACAAAAGACAAAAACCATAGGATCATTTCACTTGATGCTGAAAAAGTATTTTATAAAATTCAACATCCTTTGTGATAAAAACTCTAAAGAAAACCTGGGTATAGAAGAAACATATCTTAACACAGTAAAAGCCATATATGACAAACCCACAGCCAGTATCATACTGAATGGGGAAAAACTGAAAGTCTTTCTGCTAAGATCTTGAATAAGACAAGGATACTCAGTTTCACCACTATTATTCAACACAGTATGAGGAGTCCTAGCTAAAATAATTAGACAAAACAAAGAAATAAAAGGCACCCAAACTGGAAAGGAAGAAGTCAAATTATCCGTTTGCAGATGACATGATCTTATATTTAGAAAAACCTAAAGATTCTACCAAAAAAACTCTTAGACCGGATCAATTCAGTAAAGTTGTCACAAGATCGACATATAAAAATCAGTATTATTTCTACATGCCAACTGAACAATCTGAAAAAAACAAAAACAAAAACCAAAAAACCCAAGAAAGTAAAAGAGCTCTAAAACTATGAAACTTTGATGAAAGAAATTTTGAAGATGACAAAAAACAATGGAAAGATGGTCTATGTTCACGATTCAGAAGGTTCAATATTGTTAAAATATCCACACTACCCAAAGCAATCTAATCTAGAGATTAAATGCAATAAAAATACCAATGACATTCTTTATGGAAATTGAAAAAAATCCTAAAATTTAAGGGGAACGAAAAAATACACAGAATAGCCCAAACAATCCTGAACAAAAAGAACAAAGCTAGAGGCATCACATTATTTGACTTCAAAGTATACTACAAACTTATAGTAACCAAAACAGAATGGTATTGGCATAAAAACAGACACATAGATGAATGGAACAGAAGAGAGAACCCAGAAATAAATTAATGCATTTACAATCAACACATTTTCAACACCTATCTCTCACCATATACCAAAGTCAAATCAAAATGTATCAAAGACTTAAATTTAAGACCCGAAATTATGAAACTACTAGAAAAAGACATCAGGGAAACACTCCAAGACATTCGTCTGGATAAAGATTTCTTGAGGAGGACTTCAAAAGTACAGACAGCCAAAGCAAAAATGTACAGATGGGATCATATCAAGCTAAAAAGCTTCTGGACAGCAAGGAAACAATCAGTAAATGAAAAAACCCACAGAATAGAAGAAAACAATTTGTAAACTACCCACTGGACAAGGGATTAATAACCAGAATTGGAATACATAAGGAGCTAAAACAACTCAAGAGGAAGAAAAAGAACAAATAATTGGCAAAATATATGAATAGTCATTTATCAAAGGAAGACATACAAATGGCCCATATGTATATGAAAAATGCTTAAATGATTTGTGGGTTCCCCATTCATGGATTCACCAAGTGCAGATTGAAAATATTTTTTAAAACAATAAAAAATAATACAAAATTTAAAACAATATAGTATACAATCTATTTACATAGCATTTACATTGTACAAGTTATCAGATGATTTAAAGTTTATGGGGAGATATGCATAGGTTATATACAAATATTATGCCATTTTATATAAAGGACTTGAACATCTGTGTATTTAGAGGCCTGACTGTATAGTACATCATAATAATCTTGATTTCAGTTTCTTCCCATCCTAACAGATCATACACACAAAAAGATATTGACAGAAGCTTAACAAAGGGAAGGAAAAAAAACATCCATGGAGACAATGACGGCATCATCAGCTTCCTTGAAGAAAAATAATTGACAATGAAATAATTAAATCCATTTTTGAAAATACCTAAGTTTTTTTCGGAGTTGTTCGATTATCACACTTTGTTCAGATACTGTCTTCAGAAACTGTTGGTTAGTCTGCCACAAGGAAAAAAAAAAGCATTAGTATTAGAATACTTAATAACTGTATCTTTAAAGATGACACATCAGACATACAAGTAGAAAAAAAATTTAGTGGGATTTATAATAATGATTAGATTTTTTGAGTTTAAACGTTAACTTAGCCCTCTTTCCTTGCCTTTACTACTTCATTAGATACCTGCTTTACTTCAGAAAACCTACACCTGTATTCCTGTCTTATGGCTTTCTTTGGCCATCTGAATCTCTTTTGCTCATCTATCCACCTGTCCATAAAGCTATACGTGTTATAGAACTAATGTTCCACCCTGTTCTGAGCAGCCTGACATAAATGAAGGAAACTGGTATATAAAAAACCAAACTCCCTTCTTGCATGGGTGAGATAACTCTGAGGCTTGTTCTACACTGTCTTTCAGAATTCATTAAGCTTTAGTTACTCACAGTGTTAGCTTGCTTAATTTTAAAATGCCCTTTACTGGCTGACTTCTCTTCTCTTTGGTACCACTTCCCCACCTTCTTACTGGTGCTACCTGGTATTACCTACTAAATAAATGACATGTTTTGGAACTTTTTCCTGAAGGTCAGTTTCTGGAGAAATCCACAGTAAGATATAAAGTAGTCTTCTAAATGTAGAACAACTTTTCCTAAGGGAATTGATTTTCTTCCATAACTGCTGGTTTTATCCATGATGATACAAATTCCTTATTCCTTTGCTTTATATATTATAGTTGCTTCTGATTGATATTAATAGTTTTGATTTACATAGCATGCTTACTTTTCTCCAACTAAAGTCCCTGAGGTAGCTTTCATTGTTCTTCTCTCATGATCTATCTGAACTCACTGACTTCCTACTTTTAACATACTATTTTCCTCTGCTCAGGATGTCCTCATTCTGTCTACATTCATTCCTCAATACCATGTGTGGTTTACTCACTCTGAGTCAGAATTAACTGTTTCCTTTCTGCATTTTAATAAAACTTAATACACACCTTTACAGTGCTTTTTTATATTAAAATATTATATTTAAAGTTTATGTTTTCCTGATTAAAATATGAGCCTTTTAAAAGGATCAGCTTTTCCCAGAACTCCCAGTGCCTGGCACATGATTGAGTACATCACCGGCACAACAAGTGTTTTATTATATATACTGTCTTGGCACTTGCGTAATTAATGTTTGTGTTTTTGACCATTTGGGAACACCTCAAAGAAAAATTACATAGAGCAATTAACAGAAGTATAAGCTAAAATTCTGCATTTTAAGAATCTAGTGCTAGAAACCAAGGTGCTTAACTTGCTAGCAAGACTAGTAGGAGCTCTACAACTGCATCTGAATATGGCATTCTTGTTCTATATGTATGATGATCACAAAGAAAATTACATACTATATTAGTATTTTAGAATTAGGGGACTTAAGAAGGTGTAAGGAAGCATGCTTTTCAACCATCATCTATTTAGCACCTTATTCACTGATTATTTCATGTGTCAGCCTGTTTCACCAAGGAAACAGAGATTTTATGGATGATGTATGTTTGCAACTTAGAGAACATATACTTTCATGCAAGATAGTATGCAATTAATATTTTTGAGTAAATTATAGAGATGAGCAAATCTTAAAAAAATAACATTTTAGTAAAGCAAATCTATAGGAAATGTGAAATCACAATATATCTACAGTCATAATAAATAAAAACATGTACTTTTATGTACCATTCATGTCAGAGCATTATATCGGTTTCATATTACTAATCTGCACTGGTAAAGAAAGATATTTATTTATTTTTGAGACGGGGTCTTGCTCTGTCGTTCAGGCTGGAATGCAGTGGCGTGATCTCAGCTCACTTCAACCTATGCCTCCTGCGTTCAAGCAATTCTCCTGCCTCAGCCTTCTGAGTAGCTAGGATTATAGGCGCCCGCCACCACACCCAGCTAATTTTTGTATTTTTAGTAGAGACGGGGTTTCACTATCTTGGCCAGGCTGGTCTTGAACTCCTGATCTTGTGATCCACCCATCTCAGCCTCCCAAAGTGCTGGGATTATGGCGTGAGCCACTGCACCTGGCTGAAAGATATTTATTTTGATCAATTTGTAGTAAGAATACTTACATGAGTTATACATTTTAAAAAAATGTTTAAGTGTACAATATGTTATTGTTGACTACAGGCACAATGTGGTACAGATCTCTAGGGGTTCTTCAACTTGTTTGACTGAAACTTCAGGTGTGTTGATTATTAAGTCCCATTTCTTTTCCCCTTAGACCCTTAGTCACCATTCCAATCTCTGTTTCTATAAATCTGACTACTATGGATACTTTGTAAAAGTAAAATCATACAGTGTTTGTCTTTCTGTGACTGGCTTATTTCACTTAATACTCTCAAAGTTTATTCACATTATCACATATTGCATAATTTCCTTCTTTTTAAAGGCTGACTAACATTCCACTGTATTACATTTTAATCCATTCCTCTTTGATGGCCATTTAGGTCGTTTTCATATTTTGACTAATGTGAATATGCTGCAATAAGCACAGGAGTGCTAATATCTCTTCAAGATCCTAATTTCAATACTTCTGGATAAACGCATTCAGAAGTGGGATTTCTGGATCATATGGTACTTCTATTTTTATTTTTGAGGAAGCTTTATAATGTGTTCCATGGCAGATGCACCATTTTGCAATCCCACCAAAAATGTTCAAGGGTTCCAACTTCTCCACATCCTCATCAACACAATGAGGTGATTGATACCTCATTGTAGTTTTAGTATTTATATTTCTCTAATGTTTAGTGACATTGAACATTGGGCATTTCTTTACATACCTGTTGCCTTGAAAAAATATCTAAGTACTTAGCTCATTTAAAAATCAAGTTATTATGATTTTTTTTTTTTGGTGTGTGTGTGTGAGTTACAGAAATTTCTTAAATACTTTAGAGATTATTCCTTTATTGGATATATGACACATAAATATTTTGTCCCATTCAGTAGGTTCCCTTTTTACTCTATTGATTTCTTTTTTTTTTTTTCCATTTATTTATTTTATTGCATTTTAGGTTTTGGGGTACATGTGAAGAACATGCAAGATTGTTGCATAGGTACACACATGGCAGTGTGATTTGCTGCCTTCCTCCCCATCACCTACATCTGGCATTTCTCCCCTTGCTATCTCTCCCCAACTCCCCACCCCACACCGTCCCTCCCCTATTTCCCCCCAACTGACCCCAGTGTGTAGTGCTCCCCTCCCTGTGTCCATGTGTTCTCACGGTTCAACACCCGCCTATGAGTGAGAACATGCGGTGTTGATTTTCTGCTCTTGTGTCAGTTTGCTGAGAATGATGGTTTCCAGGTTCATCCATGTCCCTACAAAGGACACAAACTCATTGTTTTTGATGGCTGCATAATATTCCATGGTGTATATGTGCCACATTTTCCCTGTCCAGTCTATCATCGATGGGCATTTGGGTTGGTTCCAGGTCTTTGCTATTGTAAACAGTGCTGCAATGAACATTCGTGTGCACGTGTCCTTATACTAGAACAATTTATAATCCTTTGGATATATACCCAGTAATGGGATTGCTGGGTCAAATGGAATTTCTATTTCTAGGTCCTTGAGGAATTGCCACATTGTCTTCCACAATGGTTGAACTAATTTACAGTCCCACCAACAGTGTAAAAGTGTTCCTATTTCTCCACATCCTTTACAGCATCTGTTGTCTCCAGATTTTTTAATGATTGCCATTCTAACTGGCGTGAGATGGTATCTCAATGTTGTTTTGATTTGCATTTCTCTGATGGCCAGTGATGATGAGCATTTTTTCATATGTTTGTTGGCCTCATGTATGTCTTCTTTTGTAAAGTGTCTGTTCATATCCTTTGCCCACTTTTGAATGGGCTTGTTTTTTTTCTTGTAAATCTGTTTTAGTTCTTTGTAAATTCTGGATATCAGCCCTTTGTCAGATGGGTAAACTGCAAAAATTTTTTCCCATTCTGTTGGTTGCCGATTCACTCTAATGACTGTTTCTTTTGCTGTGCCGAAGCTGTGGAGTTTGATTAGGTCCCATTTGTCTATTTTAGCTTTTGTTGTTAATGCTTTTGGTGTTTTGGTCATGAAGTCCTTGCCTACACCTAGTCCTAAATGGTTTTGCCTAGATTTTCTTCTAGGGTTCTTATGGTGTTAGGTCTTATGTTTAAGTCTTTAATCCATCTGGAGTTAATTTTAGTGTAAGGTGTCAGGAAGGGGTCCAGATTTTGCTTTCTGCAGATGGCTAGCCAGTTTCCCCACCATTTATTGAACAGGGAATCCTTTCCCCATTGCTTGTTTTTGTCTGGTTTGTCAAAGATCAGATGGTTGTAGATATGTTGTGTTGCCTCCGAGACACCTGTTCTGTTCCATTGGGCTATATCTCTGTTTTGGTACCATTACCATGCTGTTTTGATTACTGTAGCCATGTAGTATAGTTTGAAGTCTGGTAGTGTAATGCCTCCCACTTTTTTCTTTTTGCTTAGAATTGACTTGGCTATGCAGGCTCTCCTCTTTTGGTTCCATATGAAGTTTAAGGCGGTTTTTTTCCAGTTCTGCAAAGAAGGTCATTGGTAGCTTGATGGGGATAGCATTGAATCTGTAAATTACTTTGGGCAGTATGGCCGTTTTCACGATACTGATTCTTCCTAACCATGAACATGGAATGTTTCTCCATCTGTTTGTGTCCTCTTTTATTTCGTTGAGCAGTGGCTTGTAGTTCTCCTTGAAGAGGTCCTTTACGTTCCTTGTTAGTTGTATTCCTAGGTATTTTATTCTCTTTGTGGCAATTGTGAATGGCAGTTCATTCTTGATTTCGTCTCTTTAAGTCTGTTATTGGTGTATAGGAATGCATGTGATTTTTGCACATTGATTTTGTATCCTGAGACTTTGTTGAAGTTGCTTATCAGTTTCAGGAGATTTTGGGCAGAGACGATGGGGTCTTCTAGATATACAATCATATCATCTGCAAATAGAAACAATTTGACTT